CCGAGTTGTCAAAGCATTGGAGTGCTTTTTTAAAGAACCAAGATCGGATCCTAGGGATGGTAAAATGAAATTATTATTTTTTTTCTTTTAAGGACAATGCGATTTCATAATTAAAAAAAAAATAAATTGAAAAAGAAAAAATTATAGTAAAAAAAGTTCCCAGCCCTAGGTTCCGAACCCGGATCTCTCGAAAAGCGCACCAGTTCTTTGTTTACTCGGCCATTACGACTATTGGATCGGCGTGAACTAATTGATATACAAGTGCTTTCTCTCAAATAGCTTTTGAGCACGAGCACGTGCTTATTTTTAAGACTTTTGTACTGCAATGACACGATACGAAAGTCTTAAAAAAAAGCTCCCTTGTCAACTAGCATGGTGGAAAGCTCGTTTGACAGATAGGCAGATGAATAAATAAATATGTAAATCATTTGGTCGCGCTGCTCCAACAGTGGCAATCGCCGAGTGAGCAAGGCTAAGTTTTTAGCAGCCAGATCTGCTGGAGATATGTGCAGGATATCGCTCAGCGAAGCTGTCATCGTAGACTTCAATGCTCCTTCTATTCCTTCAATCGCTAGTCTTTGCACTCTACGCCTTTTCACGCTTTCCTCAACATTTGCTTCCATGTCAGTTTGGAATCCAGTATTTCTCCAAAATATTTCGTGTGATTTTTCTATGTTAGGTCGCGCCCCCTAGCTGAGAGGCTTCCTTCATTCCTGAATTCTATACTTCCGGATGGAGAGACGACTGGCGTACTGCTTTGGACTCGGCCAAAATCGCTTAGGCGGTTACAGTGCCAACAAAGGAGAGGAAGAATATGAAGAGCACTAGGTCTGTTTTGTCCGGATTTACACTGAGCCTTACTTTCTTGGACCATATATAAATATCGCGAAGTGTCTGGCGCATCAGGTAGCTCATCCTTTTGAGATATTTCCGTATAGGCTAAGTGCGAAACCCGTTCGCAATGGCAGTTATTTTTGACGCTCTGCCTTGAAAAGCTTTAAGGATTCTGTTGGCTGCTAACGACCATAGAAAGGGAGGTGGAATCACATTCGGACGAGACTATGCGGCAACCTAGTATCTATCGTAACCAGTTTTTTCGGGTTATGTTAATCCATACCAGTTCAGCCCCTTCTTATATTGCATTGGCTGAAATGTTATTGAAAGCGCTTGCTATGTCGAGGAATACCCCCATTGTATTTTCTCTTTCGTTCAAGGCTTTTTCAATTTGACCAACAACCCTGTGTAAAGTTGTTTTGGTACATTTACCCTAGATATAGGCATGCTGGGTATTAAATTTATATAGTGATCTATTCTGGCTTTCATATAAATGTCATCAGCCTTTCGAGTGTCCTTAAGAGGAAAGGTGTTAAACTAATTGGTATTTAGTCTTTAGGATTCGCGTGGTTCACTTTACTGGCTTTATGAAGAAGTCCTACTTTAGGCGTTCTCCAATAATCGGCACATGGGAGAGCCAGAGAGCCTAATGCAAGCGAAAAAGATCTGTTCTAGCCAATCAACAGTGATTGGATCTGATTTTGGAAACATTTCTGGATAAACGCCATCGAGCCTGGATGACCTATATGGTGAAAAGGATTTATGGCCCAATCAAGTTTGGATCGTATAATCAGTTCATCTACATTCAACACCTCCACTAACTTTGGATCACCGTTTTGAGTCCACTCTCCCTTACTCTTCACTAAGAGACCACACACAGCCTCCGGTGGCATGGGTGCTATAATTTTTAGTACGTCGGTTGTTCGACAATATGGGTCTGGTGATTTAATATTTTTTTAAGTTTGATTGCAACCACTTGGAGTTAATTCGGTGCAGAAAGCTGGATTTCCTGTGGTGGAGGGATTCTTCAGATTCTGTAGGTATGGAATCGTGACCGAGAATAGTTTTGCGATAATGGTAAATTTTGCGTGCGCCTTAATTGGATTAGTTGCCATTCCTACAGGTTTTTCCATGACTACTTTATACCCAAGTCAGGTGTCTCCTTTTCATTTCGTTATAGCTCTACTACCCTTTTATCAATTCACTAGCTCAAATAGCGGCCTTTGTTTTTTTTCTCTTCTTTGTGGTGGTCTTTATCATCGCTGCCGATTCTTGTGCGGCGGGCTTATCTTTACGGTGTTTTCCAGCGTTTTCGTTGTCCAACATAGACTTGTCACAATCCTAAGTAGTTTCATCCATGGTTATGATGACTGCATCAGATTTTTTTGGGGGAAAAAATAAGAATAAAGCGTAACAAAAAGTAAAATTTAATAAAGAATAAAATTTTTGATAATTGCGAAAATTGCCAATTAAAATAGAAATATGTTTCACAATAAAGCTTTCAAAATCAAAACTGAAAATAATGCGTGCAAATAAATAAGTATTCATATTCGTACATACATCTGTAGATAGTATTTCAAATTCCATCTTGCATACACACATACATATATACATATATACATATTTGTATATTTCTCAGGCCTACATTCCACAGTATGCACAATGCCCTCATGCATACTACGTTAAGCATTTGTCTTGTCCCAAGTTCACTGCCACATTTTGTGCGTACATACATATTGTTCACGCTAAGCTCTTACCACATACATATGTACATTTTTAAACTAATTTATTTCTCACTCCACTCCTTCGCTCTCTTTATAGGTTATAAGCGCGTTGCTTGGCCACCCGTATCGGAAGAGCGTGTCGTTAGGGAATTCACGCCACAACCAACATCTGGTCATTATCCTGTATCGGGTTCGCAACAACAACAACAACCACCAGCGCAACAGCATCAGCCACAACACTTGCAGCAGCAGCAGCAGCAGCAACAACCACCATCTCATTATCAACAACAACAACCGAACGCTGCGCCAGCCAACCAGGTAATTACTAGATTTGCCATTATATTAGCTGCGTATATAAAATTGCAACAAAAAAGATAACAAAGAAAAATAACAAACAACAACAGAGACTCCAATAATTTTTAAAATAGATGCTTTTTAAAGTTATACCAAAAGCCAAAAAAAAAACACACACACAAAAAAAATTAACATTGTACAGTGACACAACGCGGCGTATGAGTAATGCCTGGGAGCTACCATACCGTGACCTTTCTTTAGTTCAATAGTTTACCTAATGACTTCTTCTTAATTGTACATAGCGTTGTTTTATGTTAGTTGAGTTTTTCATATTTTTATTGCCTTAATAATTTTTGATTTATTTTCTTTAAATTTACTTGATTTTCATCAATTCGTTCTAACTAGTTTAAAACAATTTTATTTTTTGTTTAAAAAAATCTCTTAGTTCGCAGACTTTGTTTCAGAAACACTTAAAAAACTCAGAACAAAAATTGCAGTTCATAAAATAAGCTAATTTTTTTACGTGAAAATTTGCATATAAATTCAGGCATTTGGTTTCAGTAATTTAAAAACTATGGGTTTTTCTTAGCTGAATGCCTCGATTACCAAATCGATTAAATCCATTTTTTGAAAAATTATAAATTTAAGTGGCAAAACGCTTGATAAAGACATAACTTATTATATTTATAATAACATTCTTTATTTGAGTTTATATACTATAAAGAGAATTTTAAAAAATTTTGTACATACATTATTTGATCGAATCTCTCAGCTTTTTGTCAATGCATTTAATCGATTTGGCAAGGCAAGCATTCAGACATGTCACATTAATTAATTTCATTTGTTCCGACTTAATTTTTTTTATGTACATTTTTTTGATTTTGCTTTGTTTTTACTTTACTCCGTTTTTTTCTTGCCTTTATTCTTTATGTTTTTATGCTTCCTAATTGGTTTGTGTATTCTCTTTTGGTAATTTATTATTTATTTTTCTTTCTTTTCTGGCGCTATGTACTTGTATATAAATTTGTTATGCATTTTTTCTTTGTAAATATCAATCCTTTTGGCAAATCACTGTACATAAATTTATATATTTTTTCTGAAATTTACAAATTATAGATATTATAGTACGAAAAAGTTCCTTGATTAAGTAACTAATTTATTTGTAAATATGAATGTTATTGTTAAAGCTAAACTTACCAACACTTTTTTAATGTGTAGTTTTTATGTAAGATAAATCACAAAAGTAAAATTATAAATAATTGGTTTGCACACACACACACATACACACATGTTAAGCATTTTCTGCCCCCAATGATGGGATGAGTAGCATTGAAGATCGAAAAAATGCCAAATGGAAAATATAAATCGGTGGCGGTATTACGCTCGTTTATATGTAAAAGTTAAACGGATCGCTGAAAAGCCCAGAAAGGGTTAGGTAAGATTGCATATCTTCAATTTTAATATCGATTTTTTTTTAGAATATCGAAATCTTATAAGGATAACGCATTTAATATCCCTAAAGTAATCAAAATTTTTAGTGATAGATTTTATCTAACTATTAAATTTCTTGTCACCAAAATCGGTATTGTTAATGAGTGGTCGATAAATGTATTTTCATCCTTAAGTTTATAAACTACATTATTTATGGCTTCTGGTTTTCCTTATTTATGATCACAACTCTTTTCATCGCTAGCATATTTATTCGACCGCTTTTCTAGTCTTTTAAGATACCTGGGAGAGGGTTTCTAATTTAGCACGGCATTTAACTTATGTATAAGGCACACAATTACTTACCGAAAAATCTTCGAATTGAACCAGTAGTCTACAGTTACACGTAAGACAGCTAAATAACAATATGAAGTGGGTCAAAATAGTCTTAGCGCACGGTTACTACCGTCTGGTTATGATTTCTTTGAGGCCCTTAATTGGTTGTACCACTGTATTATTTTACTTTAAATTGTCCTTAGAAAACAAATAACAAACATAACACGTCCAGCTGTTCCCTCGTAAGAGTGCATCCTCTTGGTTACCTCAGGGTGTAGTTCTAAGCATATGCCGCTCATGTCTGTCTTCAAAACAAACTTGACAAGGAAGGACTAGAATTTCGGGCTAAAATGCATCAACATCCCATCCTGTCGTAAGAATCAACAAAGGCCTATACATTACTGACGTCATCACTAGAATTTAGCGTTAAGCTAAACATCGGTCCGAATGATGCGTTCGCTTAGTGAGGCATCTCAGTGGGACACTTTTTTATTTTGGACAAATTTGCATCCCATCACCTATTCTTCTTTTTTAAAACATCCATGTAGAGATCCCTTGCATGAAGCTCTGGGTGTAAGCTTCTGCACTATACCCAATGGAATTTTCTTGATAAACCTCACCTTGAGCTGATCTTTTCGATTGCCCCACTATTTAGCTACCTTTGCTGTTAGCAAATGAATGATGAATGGTGAATGATGGATGTTTGGATGAATCTGATGATATTTCATTGACTTAGGAAATATTAATGAACTAAATATGCAAAACAAAGAAAGTTACGCACACATGTTTAGCTATGTAGACATTGGGACCCACCAAACAGTTTTTGTGGCAGACAAAAAGAAACCATGTCGCCCTCGGAAATAAATTTATTGCCGGTAATATCGCCATTGTATCGGTTTCTTATTACCAATCGCTCTATAACGTTCTCCGAAGGTAACTAGCCTAGGCGAGTCGTTTTCTTATCGCTTTAGGCGATATTTGGAATCATTTTATTCTTTTAAATACTTCATTTATTTTTTTATATAAAATTGGAACTTAGAAACGGAATTAATTAGTTCTTTCGCTATAGGGCTGCCTATTTTTTTGAGTCGCCAATTTGTTGCCATTAACGATTGTTGCCTATTTCTCATGTTTTGCATAGTGTGGAGTGTGATTACACATACATATATGTATTTAATTCTTAAAATTTACAAAGTTTGAGTCATAAATTTAATAACAAATATCTAAATATACGTAATAATAATTTACATAGTCGACAAGCGACAAACTGTAACTTTCAAAAACGTCCGTAAAAATTTTAAAACTAAGTGCACACATTCATTTGAACACACATATGAAGGTATGTATGAATGTGGGTCTGCGTATAAAATGAATAAAATACACAATTTAGCAATAAAAGTTATGATACCCATACAAATAATTCAACCGAGAATTTTTACAATTCATATTTATTTGAAGGAAATATAGTCATTCAACTACAACTGCAGCTCATACGTTGCTGTTTTTCAGTATGTGTTGGTGAGCGGTAGTAGACCCCATAGGAATAGAAGTATTAACGTTTGGCAAATATAATCTGGCTGAAACAAGCAATTGAATCGTAACTTTCAATAAGTCGAATATAAATTCGGCACAGTTTATAAAAGCCCATTATAAAAACTATAATGTCTAACCTACAACTTCAAATTTCAAACTCGAATTTAAATAAAGTAAAGTAAGGCTTTTCAGCTGTCTAAGTCTCACTACGATGGATTATTTGTTTCCTAATAAATTAAAAATTTTTATAGACACCAAGCATGCTTTGGCAAATTTCAATTTCCAGCAGGGTAAGCACTTATTTAAAAGGCAAAACGTACAAACAAATGTATGTACATACATATGTACATACATAAATATCGCTTGTACGAGCAGTTAGTTATTCCCGTTGTTGTAGAACGGTGTCACCACCACGATCCATTACAATTTATCATTTCAAACTTAATAGCTGCTATTTGTAGCAAGCGTAAATAGTCGTAACTAACTGTAACTTAACTGAAACCAAAATATTTGCATCTGTACAATGCACATATGTATGTTCATTACATATTTATATAATACGATATAATCAGTGTTGCCGCGGCGTTCAAAAGAAATGTATCACCAAAATTCCCTAAAATGGATCGAAGGTATCATGAAAAAAATAAAAATTTATATATCAAAGTATCAATCTTCAATAAAACTTCTAATTCTTAAATTAAAATAGTAGTTTGAATTTTTAGTTTAGATCGTTGATAATTTTTAATAATATTCTTATGGTTTTTATTTAAAATACAGAGTGAAAATAAAGCTTTTATACTCGTCAAGAGTTGAATTCATTTGCATACTAAATTAACTAAAATCACATATCAAATTAGTATTTAACACTGTAAGAACATAAAAGCAAATTTCACAATACTTACTGGATTACTCTGGATGAAATTCCTGAGGCAGTGTCACACGATTGATACATTTGTACAGATTTGTACATTTTGGCAGTTACAAAGTAGAGTTGTTTGGAAATTCTTTTACTGAGCTGAACTCAAATTTCTAAAGAACACCACTGTACAAATCTGTACAAATGTACCAATCGTGTGACACTGCCTTTAGCCCAGTACCACATCCAACAGCTTCAAAATCAAAAAGGAAAAGGAACGACAATATTAGCCTGTTCCAGCACTCCAGGATTTAGTGAGAAATCGTTCGAAAAATATATGTATGATAAATGTGTGAAAGGAAACGACTTCGGACTATTTCGGACTAAATCCTGGAGTACTTGGGCAGGCTAATTGTCTGTAGCTAAAGGTGATGCCATATGCAGATCACAGGTGGTATGTTCAGGAAAGAAAACTTAATGTTTTGCCACAAAATCATAAAAGTCTTAAGATGAGAAGAGTGACCAACTTGTTTGAGAAGTAAAATGTATCACAATTTATACTAAGCTAAAAATAAAAGTATCTTTTAAGAATTCGATGAAAAACGTATCATTTTGATCCCTTTGGATCACGACGGCAACACTGGATATAATATGTTTAATATAAGTATTTCTGTATGTGCATGAAATAAAGTAGTTTTTATAAACAGTCGCGAGCATCTGAACCACTTATAGGCAACAAGTTTGGCTACACCATCGACATATTTTGGGTTGATGCTAGAAAAGTTTTTGTTTTTTACTCGAACTCTGTTCGTTTTTAATAGCTTCGAACAAATAAACGTGCACATAGTACTTACATATGTTTTGCAAAAAT